GTGAAGGCCTGTTCCAGCAGTCGCAGCGGATCATAGATCGCAGCTGCAAGCCATGCACCGGTGACCAAGCAGGACTGGTACTGCCACAGGACTGCACCCCAACCATCCCAGGTCTCCGTCTTCAAGTATGCGGGCGATAGGTTGTGGGCAGCTTCGGCGTCACTCTGGATGTCGCAACCACGATAGGCTCGATCTGGCATTCCATTGTACACGAGGGGAGCCCTGGTGACGTAGTGTCCAGTGCAGCACAGCGTTCGGGTTTTCTTCCGGACAGCCTCCACCAAGTTTTTCTGACAATGAGCCGAATCATTATGATCGAAGAGCGGGTGTTGGCCAAAGTGAAGAGAACAGAACGAGTAGTCCGGCAGAGCTACTGGGTACTTCTTCGGACTACAGTTGCACCAGAACCTGGGTGTGAGTTCGCAGAGTTTTGCATAGCTTGGGGTTTAGGGCTTAGGAAAAAAATTAGCAAAGAGGCGTCTTGTCGCCGTAGGTGTGGGGCGGCAGGAGACCAAGCAGCAGCTGACTGAACACGACCTGTGTCGGTGCATTGTCGTGCGCCTGAGCCAAAGGTGGCAGGCCGTGCTCCTGTGTCACAGCCGCCCAGATCAAACCAGCTTCTTCGAGGTTCGAACTGGCTGTGATTGATTTCAGACGACGAGGGCGCATGAGGATGTCGTAGGCCATTTTGTTGCTGTCCACCCGCTTGAGGAGGTAGACGACGACAGTCTGAGCCAATCTGGACTTCTGGAGCTCGCTGGCGTGAACCTTTCCAGTCTCGAGGCGGGTTTCGCTGTCGGCACCCCCGATGAAGAAGCTGCCTCGGGCATCTGCATACGTGGCATAGGTTGGCCAGCAGCAAGTCTCGTCGAAGGATATCATAGTGTTTCTCGTGGGGGAAGAAGCTACCTCAAGAAGATCCAGCACACGCTCCACGTTGTGGTTCAGCTGCGACTTCCCCCCGAGCTCATCTGGAACCTCCGTGTCCGCATCGAAAAAGTCAGGAAGGCCAGGATTGTGGACAGGACAGCTGCCAAGTGTTCTGTGATTCAACCCGAACAAGGCCATCAGACCTTGCTTGGACGAGACGCTGGACAAAAGGAAGCCTACGTCTGCCAAGGCCTGGTCGTCGACACCTGGGATCTTCGTCGTGGTGAGGCGCTTGGAGTTCCGACTGAGCATCTGAGAGCGGCTAAGGACACATGAGAGCAAAGTCCGGCAAGTTTCTTGCTCCTGCAGGCGGCTCTCGGACATGGAATGCGAAAGAGGCTGTAGATCCGCATGCGCACCAGGAGCGCCAATCATGAGGTCAACGTGTCGTCGCAGGCAGCCCTCAGTGGGCCCGGTCTGCGGCAGCAGCTTCGGCAGCCAGTACCACCTGTGATGGGCCCCGCAGCCACTGGCCTTAAGCCCTAAGCACCGAAACCACGAACCCCGGTCCCCGAGCCCTAGCTCCTAGACCTAAAACTGTCTAAATAGACTAGAAAGGAAACTCGTACTGGATCAACTTGTCCTGCCTGGCGGAGAGATACTTCTGACCGCTGTCGTTCAAGTAGGCCTTCGGCAGATTGCCCTGGAGCCTGTGCAGCACCTGCTGCACGTCGCCGTAGGACAAAGCACCGACATCAGACACGCCGTAGATAGGCTGGAGGTGGTCGGCATAGTCAGAGTGCTGCATGTCCGCAGTGACGCGGCGATGCTCAACCCGGTTTTGGGTGTACAGCACGTGCAGCAGGCGGATCATGTCGAAGGTCAGAGCCCAATCGACAACCCTGCCGATGAACCGATCGTCGTTGGCGAGCTTGCAACACTTCTTGCATGCACGGTCTCCCTCTTTCAGCTCTGTGGCCGCTTCCTCGCACTGGTCTGCTCTCAGCCATGCAGCGTCCTCCTGCATGTAGCAGGCGTGAGGTAGACTCTGCGAACATGACCAAGGACACTCCTCGCGAACCCAAGCGTCGAAAGACGCTTGATAATCAGCCGCTTTATGGTCACCCGGATCCATCTTAGCGACGGGTATGCCCTGACAGCGGGGAAGCTTGGTTGCACGGGTCCTGGACCAGTGGCCGTCGGTGCTTTCATGTTGAAGGAGTAGATGGATACTGTTCCCCCGCTTGTTGTCTACCACGCAGTCGCACACGAGGCATCGGACCCTGCATTTCTCGATATGCTCGTAGCATCCAGGTCTGCGCTCAGACATCCAATCGAAGAACCGCATGTGTAGAGGAAGTTCGCGAGGGATGCCAGCCTTCGGAGGGCGACCTTTCTTCAGCTCCGCAATCCCTTCCTCCCGTCGCAGGATCTCCATGCGCTCCGCCATGGAGATCCTGCTTGGCTGCTGCGGCTTGAACTCCTTGCTGCCGTCGCCCTGCATGCAGTCCTGGACCAGACGTTTGCAGATCTCGCGTGTGACCTCGTCCAGCTTGCCCTCCGCCGCCGCAATCTGGAAATCACGCCAGTGGTGCTTGGGGTGATTATAGTTGTGCGCCACGAAGAAAGGTTTCTGGAAGGTGATGCCATAGGAGTACAGAATGTCCGCTCCCTGCTTGATGAGCTTGTTCTGAGCACGGAGTTCGCGACCCTTCAGCTTCTCGGAGTGCAGGGGCCTGTGTGTGCAGGGGCCGGCTGTGCTGCTCAGCTGCGGCTCGACTGCTGGCAAGGGCGATCTCAGCGCTGACAGAGGCAAACTGTCATCTGCCTCCTCAGCCTCAGCCTGCTCGTGCTTTACTAAGGACAAGCACACACTGGGATCTGGCGGGAAAGCCTGCTCAGCCTCCTCCTGCTTTACCAAGGACAAGGACTCGCTGGGACCTGCCGGGAAAGCCTGATCAGCCTCCTCCTGCTTCACCAAGGACACGGACTCATTGGGACTTGCCGGGGAACGCCCACGTTTGGAACCCCTGCCCTCAGGAGGGAACACAGGTACAGCGGGCTTCGAGTGCGGCGGCGTGTCAAGCTCCTGCTTCAGCTTGCTGCTCTTGGATCTCGGTGGCGTGGCCGGTGGTGTGTCTAGGAGGATCACTTTCTCTGGGAAAGCCTTGTCCATGTTTCGCTTCAGCGATGGTGCACACTCAGGCTTGCAAGACAATGCAGTCTGTGAGGTTGCAGTCGAGTACGTGATGGTGTGTGTCAACTGCATGGGATCTGGCGGGCAGCAGCACCTGCCCCGTCTGTGCTGAGTATAGACGGCTGCATACAGGTGGCTGGGCTGCTCTGGTCTGTAGAGTGCATCCCGACCGCCGCGACACATGTAGGCCTCCAGTCCTTGTGGGTCGTGGAAGAGGCAGCTGCCGGAGCTCTCCGTCGCCGTGACAGAGAAGCAATGGGAGTCGCAATGTAGAGCGCTGCATGCACTGTGGCTACACGCAATGCACAGACTGGACTTGTTTCCCGATACCAGTATGTAAGCGGCCTCTTGGTGTGATGCCAAAGACAGCCGATGCCCACAGAGCAGCTCGATCGCAGCACGCAGACTGGTTCCGCATGCGAGACGTTCCCAGCGAGCCTCCTTAGCAAGCTCCCGTAATCGGCACCATCCTGCATCTTTGGAATTCTTGAGTGTGCCTGCCATGAGCACCTCGCAGACCTCGTCTGGCAGACAGAACTGGTCCATTCGCAGCAGCAGCTCTTCCTGCTGCTTGGACACCACGTCCCGCAGATACAAGTGCATGAGCCGAGCACCTTCCCGCATGCAAGCTGTCCAAGCGGCCGGCTGTGCAGCATCCTGCTGCAGCCAGCCAGCGATGAAATCGGTGTCTTTGTGGGAGCGCCACGCACTGACGGCCAGTAGGGAAATCAGAGTACAAGCCACACTCCCTGCCTCGGACCGTTGAGCATAGTGGTACTGGTTCACGTGCC